CTGAGCAGCGCTTGCTGACCAGCACAACTGGACGCTGCCTGGCTGGGGAGGGTGGGCGCACACAGGCAATGGTTAAACAGAGGCTTGACTGCTGGGGGGGGGGGCATTCCGAGTCAGCAGGGACGGGGAACCACGCCAGCTGCAGAGAGAGAGGGCCACTCCCTCAGAAAGCTCACACACCCACCCCGGTTTCTCTTCGGCTTTAGGAGAATCAGGATTCCCGGGAGGAGGCTGCCTGGGCAGGGGCTGGTCTCCTCGAGGGCACCTGTCTCCTCGAGCCAGGCTGTGACCCACCTGAGCCCTCGATTTGGGCCTGAGCACGCCGCATCCCTGCTGCTGACCCCAACACCCGTGCCGTAGAGGGCAGCCCACCCAGGTGCCCTGCCTGGCAGCACCCCACCCCGCCCCGCCCCGCCCCGCGACACTCTCATGCACACCCTCACCCGCCTCTGAATGTGCCCAGAGCAAGCCACCGACTGCCCCGCTGCGCCCAGCAGCCCCCAGGACGCAGCAGGAGACAAAGGGGGCCGAGCAAGCACCACCCTGCCTCCATCCTCGTTTTCCTGGCGCTCTTTGTCCTCCAGCTCCCAGCCCGGCTGTCCCTTCCGCGGGCCATCCGACCCACCCCCGCCGCCCGGGTCCTACCTCCTCTGCCCCTCCGAGCCCCAGGGAAGGCTTTGGGGACTTCGGCGAAGGGGCCCCCCTGACCGCCTACTGCATGGGAGCCGCGTGTGCCGCATCCGTGCCTCTCCTCCTGCTCATGCTCCTGGTCCTCCTTCTCCTTCAGCTCCCCATCATCCTCCTATCTCGCTACAGTGCTAGAGGAAGGCTCCCCTCCCCTCTTTCGGCTCCCCTATTGGGATCAAACAAGAGAAAAAGAGAGCGAGAGAGAGCCAGAGAGAGAGAGAGACAGGCTGCCTCAGACACATGACCAGCATGGTAATCGTGCTCCCTGCCCCCTCCCGGGATCCCCTCTCTCCTTCAAGGAACAGCCACCCATGCACACACAGAGCAGCCTTTCAGGATGCCTGCCTGGCGGCGTGGGCACACCGTGCCCCCCACACCGGCTGCACTTTGAAGAGGAGGGAGAAACGGTCCAGAATGCTATGGGGGGGGGGGATGCTGGCGCTCTGAGCAGGAAGAGAAAGGAAGAAGTCCACGCACTGCCGGAGGCACGGCCAAGCGCTGCGAGAATCACATGGCCCTTTGGCTCCATTCGTTTCTCTTAAGAAATACCCCTTCCATGAAAGAAAAAGAGCTCTAAAAACAGGGCTGCGTAGGCTGCCGAGGAAGGCAGTCCACCTTCTTCATTGTTGTCTGATGATGATGATGATGATGATGATTTGGGGAATCTCCCGCTTGCATGCTGATGCATTGATTCTTTAGGGTCTGCAGATGAGGCGGAAGCAGGAGCGGTTGGCAGGGGGGGCAGCAACGTGGCACGCCGGCCTTTTGCACAATCATTTGGTGCCACCAGCGGTCCACCCAGGTTTCCTCTCCTTGCACTGGGCTTTCTGCTCAGGCCTGCTCTGTGAGCAGGAAAGGGCCACTGGGGGCTCACCTCCATCGTGTGATACCTGCCCGCCTGCAGGGGGCCCTGGTTCCGCTCCTGGGAATCCTGGGCCCAGCACATCCAGGTGGAAGAAGATTGGTCGCAGAGCTGCCACTGGGCTGAGCAACGGTTCGGCTGCATCAAGCGGGAGCCGGGCTGGATACTGACAAAGTCTACGGCTCGGTCCCCAGGGCTCCCCCAGAACGAGCGCAAATGGCACATGCTGCTTCTCGCAGTCTGTGTGTGTGTGTTGAAAGTAAGTTCAGCACACTTCTAAGCATGCCTCATTGCGCAAAGGGCTGCACGGGCATTCGAGTGCATTCCCTGGAATCCAGGGAAACGCCTCGGGCAGAAAGGCCCAAAGGGCTGCAGTGGGAGGCGACGCACGTGGGGGCCAAAGGCAGGCTCACCCGGGGATCCAGTGCACCAGCGGCAACCCAGAAAGGGCACCAAGTCGTGGGAGGATGAAACAGACCGTCGTATTTCAGCATTGTCGTAATGGCAGGGCGGGAGGGTGGGGAAGGACGCGTGTGCCCTCATGCAGCAGAAAGACGTTTTAAAGTAAAGGCAGCACGGCGTATCCAAAGCAGAGAAGCACCTGCCCGAGGAACTCAGATGCTAAAATGATCGAATCGGGCCAGTGGTGTTCGCCTAGGGTTCTGCTTTGCAGAGGGCAGTTCCTCATTGGAAGGGTTAGTCCACATCCAGTGCAATGGACCCCAAGAAGGGAGGGGCAACCTGCCTTGGTGGCCGCTTGACCGCAAACTGAGTGGGCAAAAGCCCCCCTAGCATCCTGCTCTTGAATTAGGATATTTATCTCCAAATCAGTATTGAAATCTATGGCTTGACATACGTGATTTTGAGGCAGATGTGTCCCCTTTTGCCCTCTCCTTGTGTGTTTGTGTGTGTGGTCACTTTGCCTTTGCTGCCTCCATGTTCTGGTCGTTCTTGGTGCCCCCAAGAGGTCCCTGGCTCTTTATTTAGGTACTTTTAATGCAATTTAAAGAATCTCTGCACATACGTGCAAACCCCTCCATGGCTGGCGTGAGGTGAATTGCAGGTTTAGAACTTTTATTTGGCTTTAAACTATACATTTCTCAAATGAATAAAGTGAAAACATTTTAAACTATGTTGCTGAGGGCTGCACTGAAAAAATGGTTTGTTATGCAATTTCAGGAACCTAAACCGAAAATGAGTCATTCCTGATGTGCAATAAACAGTATTAAATATTGTTCTTACCAGAATGTGACAAAATCCTACCCCAGAGGCACTTTGCAATGCAGACTTTGCGTGCGAGTAGACCTATACCGGACCCGTCCTGGGACACTGTCACCAGCAGAGTAGCAAACAATGCCCCACAATTACAATTCATGCATGAAACCAAGTGAATCATGTTGATGCATAAGAAAAATCCCCAAATCCACCCTTCGCCAGCAACTTTCAAAGGACAAATTAAAAAAGCCCCAAATTCCAGGCCATCTTTTGGCTCTCTTTATCAGGCAGGTGATTTCAAGAAGCGGGGAGAGAAAAAAAGGAGCCAAAAAAGCGAGCCAACAATTGATAGCATTTCCAGAGAACGGTCCAACATGGAAACAACGGTGCTCCCCAGTTTCTAACGCACAGCAAGCCCCTTCAGTGGAATACCATACATCAGATATCCACTGCTTATGGACTAGAATCTGTAGCGGAAAGACTAGCTGAGTACGCCCAGTTCTCATCTGCACTCAGAGGCCTGTTGCAAAGCTGATGGGACTGAAGTGCCCATTCAAGACCAAAATACTCTGCAAGTCCACAGGGAAGAATGAGGAACATACAGGACTTCTGATGCTGATGTAAACTACTCAGAAAGCCCCGGTGCTGCACCCCACATTAATGTATAAAGCTCCAGAAGCTTTAGGGCTGTCTCAAGGAACGCTTCCTCCCATACACTTAGGTGGGCCTTATCCATGACCCACTGCTCAAAGAAGTGTGTGTGTGTGTGTGGGGGGGGTGACTACAAGGGGAAGGGCCTTCTTGTTTGAGGCCCCACCTATGGAACCACCTGCTCAGGAAGGTGTGCCAGCTCAACCCCTCTTTATTCTCCTGTTGATTTTATATTGGTTTTTATTCAGATGATTGAGTGGTTGCTGTGGATTCCTGTCTTGTCCTGTGTATTATTATTTTGTTTTTCCTGTTACTGTCGTTATTGTTTTTGAATTGTTATGACTACTATGGATATCTTATTGTTATTATGTTTTATGCTCTAAACTGTAAATCGTTCTGAGAACATTTGCTATAGAACAGTCTATTAATACACTTCAAACACACAACGAACAAGCAAACATCTGAGTCCTGCCCTTTCTATACTTCAGCTAACACAGAATTCCAAGAATCAGAAGGTGGGCTCCAAAAAAGTATCTAGTTCTCATTTTCCCAGATTATCAAAGCATCACTCAGTATTTGGATTCTGTACACAGTAATCAGATTCTACAGGCTGTTACCAACCTACTAGGTAACTGACTCATTGGACAATAGGATTCTGCTGGCTCCACATGGACCCATAGCCTGACTGGAGTCCACCTAAATTTCTCTGGAACACCAAATACAGAATGGTACGTACATGTTGTAGATGCACATAATAAAGTACGCTCATTAGAAACAAAGAAACTGAGCAAGTCAGCAGGGGCCTCACAGGCCATCTAGTCTGACTCCCAGCTCCAGCCGGCTCCACTTGTGACATGCCTACCAGGTGCATGTCCATAAGCTAGGGCCCTGGCCCTTAGCAAGGTTAGGGGGTGAGGCAGAGGGAACACTTTGAACATGGTCAAGAGTAGAGGGTCGCTATCTCAGCTCCAACCTAGGAAGGATCCTCTTGCAATCCTTCAGATTCATTCCATGCAAACCAAGTATCAACACACAGCATTGTTCGAGCAGCGGCGGAGAGTCCAATGAAGCGGCAAACGCCTGCCCTGGACCCCTTGCAAGGTGCAGTTTTAATTTCCTTCCCGTGCTAGCCCCAGTGCTGACGGTGGGGGAGATGCTATTTCCGTTTCCCACAATGCCTCAGAGGCAGGCTATGTCAGGGAAGGAAATCTAGATGGTGGGTCCAAGCCACTTGCCACTCCACACAGCACAGCTGCTCACTACCGCCTGCTCTTTCCACCACCACCACCACCACCACCACCACCACCACCTGGCAAGTCCTTCAGGTCCTGGGAGCAGGCTCCACTGGAGGACAATTTGCTGTCCCCACCCCAAAAGACCGGGTCTGGCTCCACACCCCTCTTCTGTCCCAGACTGGCCGCTGGAGAGGCCAACCATGCTTGGATTTTTTCTGTTCTGACCCCCACATTTGTAAGAGCAAAGGCTAAAACCTCTTGTCCAACACCATCAAGAAACCTCGGGAGGCCGAGGAAGAGAACAAGCACAGCCCTGTTCCCCCCTCCAGCAGGGGCCGCAGGAGACGCACCTCGGAAGCTCCAGCAGCTCCCTCCTGCAGGACGCCTGAGTGGTCTGTGGCCCGAGCCCCGCATCTGAGGCTGGGGCGGTCCGGAGAGAAACGGCACCAGGCTGGTTTCGCATGCGGTGGGATCTGGGGCCACTGAGGGGTTTGGTGCGAATGACTTGGCACTTCCTGCCTTGCGGTTTCTTCTTCCTCCTGAGGGTGCTGAGCTGTACGGAGAGCACTGCTAGGGAAGCGTGCAACCAGAGAGCCACTGGAGAGTGGGGTGGGGTGGGGATTCGCGGACCAGCCCGAGCAAAGGCCTGCCGCAGGACATCCGCTTGCAGCAGAAGGCCAGGCAGACACAGGGGCCACTGCCACCCAGGACTGCTGGCGGAAGAGCCCCGTTTTCAAGGGTGCTTCCAGAGAGAGGGCTTCTGGCATCATTATGAGGCGCCTAGTCCATCTTTTCGTCCTTAACTCATTTCTTTGACGGAACAAAAAGGGTAGAAGAAATACCTGAAAAGCGCTGGATGGTGACAGCTGGGTATTTTAGAAGGGGCCCACTGTCTGGACCCCAAGTTAAGCATGCCCTGCACACCGGGGCTTCTTCCCTCGCCCAGCATCACGTGCACCTGGCCTGAGCTCTTGAGCTCTTGAGCTCTCACCCATTTCTGCCCCTGCATTCACCGCCTTCTCCTTCTGGTCCTGCAGCCGCCCAGAGGGAGAGCCCAAGGGGAGGGGGAGGAGCAGCTTTCCTTGCTCACATCTGTCCCCGTTTGCACGCTCAGAGAAGGCAGGCTGAAGAGGCAGGAATGCTACAGAGGAGGAGGAGCATGCCCGGGGTGGTGTCTGGGGCTGGCAGTGGGCCCCTGGCTGGGGCGTGGAACCTGGCAGGAGCCCAGTGGTGCTCGCCCTACCTGCCAGCCCTATTTTAACTCCCTAACCTTCCTTGCCCACCCTGTGCTCCCCATCAGATACGCGCAGCTTCCTACCTTCTTCATTCAATGCCCTCTTTCCCATAAGGCTGCCATGGGCCCATGTCCTGTTGCCCCACAAACCTCAGGAACCCCTCCTTGTTGCCCGCCACTCAATGAACTCTGGCTGCCAGGGAGGGCCATCAAGGTGGACTCCAAATGCAGGTGATGCAACAGTTGCGGGGAATCTTGGATGCCACGACGGGTCGTTCCCCTTAAAAGGAGAGACTGTGTGGCTGGCAAGCCCCGAGGACTTCTCTCAGAGCTGTCCTGACAAGACGTAAGGGCTGTTTTGTTTCTCCCGTATATCTCATTTCCTTTGCCTGGAGTGCCAGGGGTGGGGCAGGTTGCACATCACTCTTTTAAGGCACGCAGGCACCACTTGCCAGCTCGGCACCCCGGCAAGCTAAATCGCACTGCATTTGGACCTTAATCCAGGGTGCACAACAGGCAGATCTCTGGATGTTCTGGACTTCAACTCCCAGAAACAAACCTCTGCCAACAGGGACGATGATCAGGAATCCTGGGAGTTGAGTCCAAAACATCTGGAAATTAACTTTCCACCCACCCTTGGCCTAAAATGTGCTCCACCAGGATACACAGCAAAGGTAAAAAGTCTGAAAACTTCCAGGTTAGATTTGTAGCGGAAAATGCCTCCTTTCAATCTGCAGCTTGGTTCTTCTACCATAGCAACTCCGAAAGCATCTTATACTGAATCAGACCATCGGTTTGGCTACCTCAATACTCTTTCCACCAACCTTTCCTAGCTAGGGGAGTCACTTTTGAATTGCTAAAAAAGAGGAGGCCTTGCCTTAAGTGGAGGTGGCCACTTGCCTAAGATGGGCAGGTGCTAACTGATAGGTGGAGCGGCACAATCAGAAGCTTTCACCAGACACAGCACATCCCCTGCCCCACGTGCACAGGTGTGGCCAGGTGGCCTGGGTGCCTTCCTCGAGCCACTGCCCACGGCTGCTGACGGGCCGTTTCAAGGTCCAGGCTTTGCTTCTGAAAGGTCTTTCATTTAAACTTGGACAGGAGAGCTCTTCAAATAGTGGACTGACCTCTGCAGAAGAGGGCAGGTGGCCACCGCAGTTCTCAACCTGGTACATTTCATCAGACTGCAGGATATAAGGAGATGATGGAAGTGGTAATCCAACTGCAAGATTTTTCTCAAACCTGCTAGCAGGCCCTTCCTGGTGGTCTCCTGCTTTCTGCCAATGCCATCTTGTGCTGGAGATGCCGTAGACCAGCCTTCTCCAACCTGGTGCCCCTCAGATGCATTGCACTGCCAGGGGGCGCCTGGAGGCATGAGGTTGAAAGAGGCTGGGAGGTGGATGCTGGAACTGGGAAGATGGACAACCCACTTTTCTAATCCTCTGCCAAAACCAATGATGCTTATTACGTGGAGAGAAAGCATTTGATGCTCAGCAAACAACAAAAACTAAGCACTTGTCAAATGGGTCACAGCAGAAGGTAAGGCAGGTTTGTTTTTAGATGGCTCAACTACATTTCTATCCTGCCTTTCTGAAGCCAACCAAGGTGGCTTTCAAAAAGTCCAGAAAACACCTATTCATTTATGTAAAACATTTCTATGTCACTTTCTTAGAAAAAAACCAAGGTGGTTTCAAAAATGATATATTAAAAAGGACCAAACATAAACAAATAAAAACAGCAAACTTTGAAAGCATAACCATCTCCGTAAAGCCCAGAGGAAACATGGTTTGTCTTGACCTCCTTCCTGAATGCAGAGAGAATGGGGACCAGTTCCAGTGTTTGGGGACAACACACCAGAAACCCTGACAAATGGCACCTTTGTGTGTGGGTGTCTTCAGAAGGACGCTACAGTGGCCCCTTCAGACACCCAGAGCACAAGCCTTTCAGGCTTCAGAGGTGAAAGCCACCACCTTGAATCAAGTCCAGAAAACATCTGGCAGTCGGTGCTCATCTTTCGGCCACATGACACCAGTGGTGTAGCGGTAACTTTGAGAAGTATAAATTCTTATGGTAGCAGACCTCAGAGCCAGGGCTGGAACTATGAAGGCCAGGCATAGCTGCTTAGCTGCAGAGGGGCCGGATCCCACCAGAGGAGCACGGCCAAAAGCCCCCTAGAGTTGCACGTCTTTCCCCCTCCTCCTCCTCCCAAATGTGATCTGCTTGTTCTTACTCTGGCCCAGACAATGCTGGTGCTGAGGAGGAGGAGGAGCAGAAATACTCCTGTGCATTGGCTCCCTGGCTCGCTATTTATCAGGCAAGCAAAGATGATGAAAAGATGAGGAGAACAAATGGCAGTTGACAACAGCTGTGAGAGGAGGGACTCACTCAGAAAGGGGTCCCAAAGAAGGTCTTGTCCAGCGGCTCCCCAAGCATCACTGCCCAGAACTGAGTGGCCAAAAGCTCCAGGAGGCTGTGTTAATCCATATCAACAAACTAGATGGAGACATTTCCATCTCTGGCAGATCTAGGTCTTTTGCAAAGCAGATGGATCTTCATTGACCATGCAGGGTCAAGCAGCCCCAAATTTTGCATTACAACCCCATATTGCTGCTGGAAAATCCATTTTTCCTCCAGCTACAGTGGTGAATCCTGTAGTGAAACCCAGAGGGAACAGAGAAAAGTGAGGTGCCAGATGAAGACCAGCACTGCTGCTAATCCAACAGTCCTGGCGCGGCATCCCTGTGAGCCCCGGTTTCACTGCAGCAATGTCCACCACACTGTTGTGGCACAAGGCTCTCTGCAGGTGCTCAGACAGGCTCTTTCCCTGCTGAACCTTTCTGCAGTGAATGGACAGATCTGTCGCATTTAACGGGGCTTTCTTGCAGCTTTAGCCATGAGAATAAACCATGTTGAAAAGGCCTTCTCAGAAGCATTTTCCAAGCCAGCCTGTCAAGAACAGGAACATATGTGGATTCATGAATCATGTTTCCTTCTGTTAGCCTTCCACAGAATCACTGGAGTATTTATGGTCTCATTCCCCAGAATGACAATCAATGAGCAGCCTATTCAATCCCACGGTGTGCGTGGGTAACAAGTTTTGGCGGGGCAGAGTTTCCTAATTTATCAGTGCTTCTACTGTTTTTCTCACTGCAGCGTTACTGATTGTGGCACGAAAACTTATGGCTCTCCAGAGAATGTGATTGACAGAGAGTCCTGCCAGCACCAAAAGGGAGAACACCAGCACAGCCTGGGATCCAGTATGTGCAGAGGGGCGCCCACAAGAAGCATGGCTGGAAAAGCTTCACCTCTTCTTGCCCACAAGCTCCTCCCTTGCACATGGCAACATCTGGTTACAGCTCACCCATCATATTACAAGTACAAGCCTCTTTCAGGCCGAAGGCTGAATTTAATTTAAGAGAAGCTCTTCAAGGCTGTGTCAGAGCCCAGGCGGGGGGCGGCTGGAGGCAAGAAGGGCCAAAAACATACCGGACATATTGCAGCTTACAATCAGTAAGTCAGCCTTAGGAAAGGGTAAAGGTCTTACCATCTGGGGGTTGGATGGAGACCCCAGGTGGGCTAGATTTAGCCTCCAGGGCTGAGAGTCCACTTTAGCAATTGAATAGCAGGCAGAAATTCTACAGGCAGAGCGTCTTCTTCCTCCACTAAGACATACAGTAATGGAGAAAAGTTCTTGCAGCTCACGTAGCTGTTCAAGGGCAAGGTGTACCGTGTGAAGAAAAGGCGCAAGTCTCTAGAACCCACGTGCCACCCTAAACTACCCCAAAATGTAGCTATTTTGACATGTGGGGCCTGCAGGAAAAGTACTCCAGCCAGCCACGCGTTTTGCCAGGGCACTTCAACATGCTCAGAGAATGCTCAGTCCACCTTGTGTTGTTAGGGATTGTTTTGCTCTCCCCCAGCTCCTTCCCCCTGCAAGCCTAGAAATGCCTCCCCTTTATGCAGGGAATGAAGGCATTCTGGCTACGTGTGGGTCAGCAGTTATGACTGCATAGAAATGATGGTGTTATTCCATGTATATCATATGGAACAGGATGGGGTTTCCTGGGACAGGTCGTGACTCTGCGCTGCACCATTTTGCTGCAGTCCCGCATATCTCTGAGAAGTTCCAGGCAGTCCGTACCGCTCTCCCTTCACACTCTGACCTCACAACAACCCCATGAGCTGGGCTGAGCCAAAGGGAGCTGGCTGGCCAAGATTGCCCTGAGGGATATCT